AGGCTGTCAGCCACACTTAATGAGAGAAAGATCAAAACTTATGCAATCCATAAGCACTATATAAGAAAACAGGCCAAGTACAAATCTTATATTTTAAGTTGAGCTATGAAATTGAATCATTTTAATGATTTTCTACTGTCAACAACAGCAAAAAGGAGATATAAAAATAATATATTCTAATAATTCTTTTCACCAGATAGTGAAATGTGAAAATGCAATGGAAATGTATTAACGATTTGCTTATCACAGTAGATTTAGGGATATCCATAAGAGCACAGCTGAAGATTCTGGATTTTACAATAAAATGCAGTTTTACAAGCAGTAGCTTTCAAAAGGACGTATAGTCTCCATGTAAGATTTTCTACTGCTTAAAATTCATGTGCACATTGAAAATACAGTGTAATTGAACATCATTGCTAGTTCTTTAATAAATACAAGTCTCCTCTTATTTACTAATAATCTGACAAAGCTCCTTGTCATACCCTAGATTTGTAGGATACTTTGACAAGAAAGAAAAGCTTCAGCAACAGATGTTTCCAAATAGAATAACTTAATCGTCTGTAATGTGCACATCTGCAGAATAGGAAAATTTTAAAAGAATGAGAGTACAAAACAAGGGAAGAAAGGTTAAGGGCTATAGAGAAGAACAGAGACTTGAAATAGCATGTGAAAGCAAAATGAGATGAACAATAAATTATATGGAGAATGGGTGAATAACTAGATAGACACAAGAACGAGGGGTACATGTAAATGCAACCACTGAAGGGGCACTTCGCTGGAAAAACAAACAGAAAACTTTCCAAGCCCAGGAAATTCTTCCTAAACTATAAAGGTGGACACCCAGCTTGAAAACCTGGTTCACACATTCCTTGGGGAATTTTGTACAGAGTTACTACCACAGTACTCTCTGCTCCCTGCCATCCTGCAATTCATAATCATTACTCCTGACAGTCCTATATTTGAATATAATCGAATTCAGAGCCATTGCTCTGTGAGTTATTGCCTACAGAAGAAAAGCTGTGCACTAGAAAACTAACCTAAATTTCCCTGCACTGTGTGCCACAAGCTGAGAAATCTTTCACAGCACCATTCAAAAACCTGTCCTGTACTTTTTGATATTAAACAAAAATATCAGACTGGGAAATGAGAGCCAGCTATTTACCAATTAACATTATTAGTGGTACCAATCAGTAAAAAACCTCCTACAGTCCTTACTTGACTAACTCATATAAAAATATAGAAAATTTATTTCAAGAAATGATAATGCAGTGATAATAATAAAAACCCTCACAACCCAAAAGATGAAATAATGTGTAAGACTGCAGATGTCTGTGACAAAAGCATATTGAATATTAAAGCCAGCAGTCTTCACAGCTACCTGGATTCTTTCAGATACTAATATTTTGGAATCATTAAAACTGGGAAAAAAAGGAATTTAAATTAAGTCAAGATTCTAGCTTTTAAGGTTATAACAGTGAAAAATATGAAAATATAGCACATGTGCTTTTGTTCACAGGTCATTCAGAAACTGTTACTGAACTGCAATGGAAATTTATTGGGATGAAGTTCTATCTCTAAGAAATACTAGGGAAAAATCTCATTCACTTCAATAGGATTTGCAGCTATATATAATTTATGCTTGATAGTTTGCAATTAAAAGGTAACAATTACTTCCTTCTTTGAAAGGGAGAAATATTTTGGAGCTTTTATAATTTATTTAATATGATTTATCCTTAGGCAATTTTAAAGGATTAGTTTATAAATTCTGTATATAATGTATAAGACCTCTACAGCTATCAACTTATTTTTAACAGAATGATTAATGTAAAAAAATGCTGATACATTCATATTATTTAAAACAATAGAGTTCACTGCAGCTTTATTTTAAATGAGCTCCTCAACCTATGAACACTAATACGGAAGCCACAGCAACTATTTCTGTTCATCAAATAAGTTTTGCCCTTTCTCCTGGTGTCAGCCCCAGCATTGACCTACATGAACCTGCAATTTAAAAGGACCACTTAATTCAGTGCCTGACAGACAATTTAGTTTCATAAACGTGTAGCTCTGAGGAACACAATTAAGCTATTTAAGGATGTACAAACCCAACATTTCAGCAACAGTATCTTCTGACTGACATAAGGGAGAATTTCTAGTCATGTATGGTTTTATGGACACACTGATCTTCTAACCTAGCACAAAATAATTAGCGTGCCACATATTGCTAATCAAACACAAGTTCAGTAGTGACCTGATAGATGATTAATTTTTAAAATTTTAAAAAATTCTGTCCCTCAAACAAGGAAGATGCCAAAATGCCACCTCTTCTGCAAGACAGGACATCAGCTAAAGGTGAAGGGATGAGTAGATATGTAGAAAAAGTTGCTGCCATAATCTCAGCTCTGTCAGCCAACACTTATTCATTTGGTCTGCTGTGAGCAGAAAGAAGACAAGCTTCAGGAGAAAATGAGAGGAGGAAGAGGTGCAGTATTTTATTTCCTGAGTTTGTAAATCACAGCAGGAGAAGGTGCTTACATTCACATTTTCCCTTTTCTTCTCTCAAGCTTGTTGATGTTCAGCTTAGGTTTTTGGATTTTTAAAAAAATTGTCTCCCCAAATTCAAACCATCATCCTGACCTTAACTCTATTACTAGGCTAGTTGTAATACATAACTCTCAGTCCCAGCACTGAGGTTATATTAACAGGACTAATTTCTAAGTAACAGAAATAGGAAATGGAAAAATAGTTTTTCAAACATGAAAACCAGATTTGCTTTTATCAACCCAAAATCAGGATTGATACATATCCAGCTCTCAGCAGAAAGAAGAGAGGCACTCAACTATCAAAGTGTTTAGCAGCTTAATACTCCAGTTCTGGATGCTGTTGCCTTGAAACAAATTATATTATATTGTCTAATAAGCATTTTAAGGACTGCTTAGAGCAATAATTCTCCGTAATCTAAAAGTTAGGATATAGAAATTGCTAATGAAACATCTGGTCGCTGAAAAACTCCAGTGCAGATAAGAAAACATTGTAGTACTTACCATACTGAAAGCTCACAAAACCCTGCTCAGTACACACAAGCACCACAGGGAGATGGAATTAAACACCCAAGTTCACTTCTAACAACAAAACCAATATAAACAAACTGTAAAGAAAAATAACTTATGAGTGTTTTATACGAAGGATATTTTGTAGCAAGGTTATGTTGTTTCTGTATGAGACCAAGAACTTAAAATGTCTAATCCAATCCAGTAGATTCATTGCTCCTCTTTTCAATCCTCTAACTGGAGGCTTATTTGTGTTTGCAGATTCTCTTTTGATCCAAAACTTGCCTAAAAATGAAACCTAGAAACCATTTAAATTTATCTTTGACACATCATTTAATCCAAAAAAGATTAAAAAATGAAAACACCCGTTATTATTATATTGTGGCTTTATTCCTGGGGGGTTTCCTTATGTTAGTAGCTGTTTTCAGAGGGATTTTCTGATTTTATTAAGGAAGTTAAGAAAAAAGCAATATTGCATTTCCTAGGAAAAAAAAGGAATTTACCAGCAGCAGGCAGTCTTATTACAATTCTGCCCAAAAACCTGCTTATCTTACACTTGTTTTTGTTTTTTTTTTTTTTTTTTAATAATTGAGATTTCATTAGGAGAAAAGAATAGTGTCCTGTGGCAGATCAAGAAAATGCTTCTGAGATTTTTCATGATTTTATGTATTTTAGCCAGTGGAAACAGGAAATATTTGTGCTTATAAGTGAGAAATTTTTATTTTTTATTATTTTCTTTTTAATATGAGGATGACATCTTAATGCCTTGGGGATTACAAGCATTTCCTTTATTGTATTAAAGTCTCTCTGAATTTAAGAAAAGTTTAAATTAAACACTTGCCTCAAGAAATTTTTCTGTTTTTTAATAAAAGTGCTGTATTTTTGTCATGTAAAAATTATTAATTGAAAAATCTATTAGCAAATGACACATTAAGAATAACTTCAGATCCTTGTTTTTCTTTATGGGTTATTAAGGAATGTTATGTTAATATATTTCAACTCTTACCAACTACAAATTAAACCTGTGCAGTTTGTTGTTTAGCTTTTTTTCCCCTATTTTCATGAAGCCAGTCCTCTGGCCTGCAAAACCTGTTAGGAAGGCAAACAAAAAAACCCCCAAAACTCAAATCTACCATACTTACTATCAATAATTTTGTTGACACCATTCAGGAATTCCATAGACTCAAAATAAAATCACAGTCCTTTTTCTCCTTTCAGAATATAGCCTCTTAATCCAAATAATATCAGAGAAGTTAAAATTTAGTCCATTCATCTGGCAAATGTTTCCCTCTGTTTCATAAACATGCATATCACAGAGAAAAATTGTTCAATTCAAGGATTTTAAACATAATTAGAGTGTAAAAAATCATCATAGAAATACGGTAGTTCTCAGACTTAATAATGTCCTTATTGCAGTGCATCACATTTCCATAAATCAAAGATTTAGCAAAACCAAACTGTGCTATAACCAGCCAGTAAATAAAGGTAATTGTCTAGGGGGATTGCAAAATAGAAATTTTTGTGGTAAAAAGTATTATGTTCCAACAGTCTAACCACAAGTTGAAGGTAAAATGTCAGGAAAATTAGAAGGAGGACATGGGGAAAAATGTGTAACAGCTTATCAGAAATGCTGGTTCAAAAAATCCATGGCTACTTTAAATAAAATAGCCTATCCAGAATAATAAAGTACTACAGGCACCATTTCCTCTAGGCTTGTTTACAACCTGTAGGATGCTTCCTTTTTAATAGTCTAGTTAATGTTATGTCCTATGGGAAGGACAAAAAACAAGTGCTAAAGTATATGATGACTTTTTACACAATGATAATTAATCATCACATTTCATTAATAAATTATCAAATGCTTGCAAGCTGTCCACAATCTTTGTCATTCTAGTTTGCATATTTTATAATGGTGGAATAACATTTTAAAAAGTTTGAATAGGCACTTACTGGAATTACAGTTAATCCTGATACAGTCTAGATGGGGAAGAATAGATGAAAAATGAAAATTTATCCTTCAAGGTAATAGCTGCAGACATCCAATAAAATCACAGTCCACCCTTCCGGGGACAGACACATGCAAATATGGCCACTCCATATCATCAGTCTTTACATACGGTTATAACCCAGATATACTGCGATAAGTCTTTACCAATAGAAACGACAAATAGGGTAAAAATGGCCAATTTCAAACAAAGCTACATGGTGACAAATCTAAGTGAAAAGTCAGGATTAAAAGTCAAAGATGCTTAACTGAGGCAGGCTGCAACTTTCTCCCCATCTGTGAAAGAACAGGTAATTTCTCTCAGTGCAATTAGAAAGTGCTCCGTCACAATGGGTCATAGAGCAGGCCAGGCCACAATCAGACACCTTGGACAACTCGTGGATAGTATAACCTCAAAGGCTCATCTTCAAAAGCTAAGGATTGACACACAGAGCTCATCACCCAGGCCCAGAAATAAGGGGTTGTAGGTTTACATATCCTTAATGTCTAGATTTTAGAAATGAACAGTGACTACTTTAAAGTTATAATAATATGTAGAAAAAAAATCATGTATTTATAAACACTAATTAGAAAATGAAGAGAACCCTTTCTATTTTAAGATTATTTTCTTTCCTGACTAAAAAAATAAATAAATAAAAAAGAGAGAAAAAAAAAAAAAAGGAGTGTCAGAGGGAGGAACAATATTGTTAGGGCATGGATTTATTAACTTTTTATTGACTTTCATGAACTATAGAAGTAGGCAGAGGGTGGTATTTTGTATGTAAAGTGAATAACCTGATCTGTGCATGATCCTCTGCCAGGCTACCTGCATTCATTTATTACTTAAAAAAAAAATAATCAAAAACAAAAGCAAAAACCAAACCCTACACTGCGCTACTTGGTTTGTACACTTACTTCTGGTTTACACCTTTGAGGAACATGTATACCATCAAACCTAGATTTTGTTTCCATATAGCTGAGTTTGTCATGTGTCGTCAACCGCATCAGAAAAGTGGTTGCAAACAGCCGAGGAGCAGCACCTGCACAGCCCCTTTAGAGAAAGCGCTCAGAGCCTCCCGCCCGCGCAGAGGGGACAGGCAGGGAAGGGTCACCTGCCACACCCCGGGCTCCTCCTTCTCCCTCCTCAGCACTAAACACCGGGGCAGCTTTTCAGGGAGCGACGCTTCGAGGAAGTGGAGGGTCAGGTGGTTATTGTCTTACCCTCCACACTCAACACCTGTGCTTTCTAAATTTGTGACTAAGCAATAAAATACTTCTTTCCCTTTAAAAATAGCATCCCCCTGAATGGGGATAGCTGCATGGGACATGCATTTTCCTGAGCATACTCCTGTCCTGTTTCAGGTCCTGACTTGGACTTATTCATAAGCGGGGCAGAAGTGCTTTTATTTCTTTATTTACTTTTTTTTTTTAAACTAGAGAAAACCATAACCTGACATTTTGTCCATCACATTTTAAACAAGGAAACCAATTTTCTTTCTTTCTTTTTTTTAATTTTTTTCTGTAAAAGGGCTTGTGCCTCCTGTGTTCACAAGGCTGTTTGCTGAGGGCCGCAGTCTTTGGGCATTGAAGGGTTGTGTTATCGTTCGATACTACAAAAACACCACTACAGAATTGTTTAAAAAAGAGGAGATGGATTTAATATAGATTTGACATCTAAAAAAAGGAGACCAAGAAATCCATCAGTGGGATTATCTAACTGCAACATTTTCAGGGTTAAAACCAAAAAGTCTTTGATATATTTGCATGCCATAGACTAATTGGTGGGGTGGAAGTAAGACTGAGTTGACCTACATATATGTTGTTTCTGCTCGCACATTGAAATTGTGGAATTGCTATTCTGAAGAAATTGTGGAGAGAGACCAATCTTCCACAATTGAAAAAAAAAAAAAATTAGGCAAAAAATACCACTGATGAACTTGTCTTCTTTTTTAGAATACACAACAGTACAAAAATATTGTGATGAGTAATGTTAAGACTAAACCAAGAATACAAAAATGCAAAAGAAAACAAAATAAATTGTAATAATGGCCGTGTATGTGTGCACGTATGCAAATGCCACATTGATGTGTGTTTATACGTCATTTCAGTTTACTTTTAATGTTAAAACAGGCTGTTTCATAAATGTTTGCAAGCAAAAAGAAAAATGTAAAGAAAATGTTATTTTCTTGGAGGAAGAGGTTGTTACCTAGGTTGACCGTTAGCTTAACTCGTCCTGCATCCAGCTCTAACCGAAGGGTATCTGCAGATTCCCTGGAAGTTGTCGCCATTAAAATGCCATAAGCTCGCTGAGACCTGAACCTTAAAGAAACGTCTTCGGCCTCTGTGTGCATCACAACAGGAAGCTGTATTTTCATAAACATACTTCCATCATAGCTTAAAATTGTTGCCTCTGGAAATACAAAGGAGAAAATCAGTTGTTAAAGGATTATGCTCTGTCTGCTGAAACTCCTTAAAGGTAAGATGGTAAATATATATTCAGTCAGCATGACACAGAAAAAGTACATATTACTTTTCATTATTATTACTAGGAGCCACAAGGGAAGTCAGATTTGGGGGTTTTGTTAGGGTTTGTTTTGATTTATTTTAAGTGGCATATCATGGTGCTTTTTAAAGCAACTAAATTGTTCTTAATGACCCAGCCAGTCATGCGTGCATCTTCAACAAGATCAGTAAAATCTCCTGTAAGGCAATGCTTGAAAGACCAGGCCTGTACAGCTCAAAATAGGTCAAATCAGTGAAAGATATTCAGGTAACATTAACAGCATAACAAAAGCCCATGCCTGACTGTCATTCCCCTAGATAACCACCTTAGGATGCTTCATGTATAAACCTATTTGCATTGCTACAACTATGGGTTGCAATTGTCATAAAGTGAGCAAAAATCTCCTGAAATGCGTGACTATCCCCAGCATAGTTTGGATGTGGCACAGGCTGTTCCATGACTACAAAAAGCATGGTATGGACTCAAAAATGCTTATATGAACACTACGACAGCCTCAGCAAGAAGATTGAGACTGGAATTGGCATATTGAGGGTAACATCTTAAAACCCCCAAGATGAGCAAAGAACTGTCACTTTCAGACATTGCAGGAAACCCTCCTGGCCAGAGGCTCTGGCGCAGAGCAATCACAGTCTGTTACACCCCAGAGCAACCAGTCACAAGCCTTCTTTTTCCAGCTTCCAGGCTGGTATCAAGAAAGGTAGCAAAGAGACTGCATTTCTGCTCACAGGGAGGCATTGCAGTTCCTAGAAAGCAAAGAAAACACATTTCTGAAACGTACCAGTATGTCCTTTTTGGCAGGACAATCAAATGTTGTGGGCAAAGAACACCTATGGGAAGCTTCTCTAGGCTTAAATTTGCTTCAGTGTAATGGAGTCACTTCCCTAAAAGTTCATTGTGGTGTCAACATGCAATCATATTTTCAAGGACTAATACTACTGATACTGTGCTAAGTAAGTATCACAATTGTTTGCCAAAATTGTTCCCATAGCATATCTCGTATGCTGCTAAAGGCAGATAAGCTCTTCAAGACTTCCAGCCTACACGACCCAGGAAGGACAAAATGTTCTACAAATTCTGTAACAGGCAAAAATGATAGATGATATTTTCACTAAAACAATCAGAAAATGACTGGGGTTAGGAGGAACTGCAATGATCACCCAGTTCCACCCATGTCCCCTGCCATGGGCAGGGGCACCTCCCACTAGCCCAGGTTGCTCCAAGCCCTGTCCAACCTGGCCTTGAACCTTCCAGGGCTGGGGCATCCACAGCTTCTCTGGGAAACCTTGTAAAGAATTCTTCTCCTCTGTAAAGAACTTTAAATTCCCCCAATACATATTTGGAGAAAACAGCCTGATGTTGGGAAAAAAAGTGGTTACTGAGACTGCTGTCAAAGCCCTTAGATGTAACAGGTTAGAAGAATTACAGGTTTGATGATTTCTGACTATGCAGGTAATCATGTTTTCAGCATATTTTAAATCAAAAATTGTTCTGTGAAGTAGATTAAATACTGGCAACAATTTGAAAAGTGATTTCTAGTCAGACTTTTCAGTGAAAGGTGATGTGCTTTTTGACAGTTTGGTGCTTTTATTTGTTAGTTTGGGGGTTGGGTTTTTGTGAGTTTCCTTGTTTGTTTATTATTTTTTTGGGGGAAGTCAGAAAGTTGGGGCATTAAATTCCTTCCTATATCTAGCTGTCTAATCCATGCATAAAAATCTCCCAAGATTTTTATCGAGGTAAACTTAATTTAGGTAAAGATTTTCAGGAAAAACCCTTAAGTTACATGAGAATATAACAGGAAAAAAAAGGTATTTCGTATTGTCTATAAAAATCCACCACATTAATAGTACTCAGGGTTTTCATATACAGAGCAAGCCCAAGATTCATCAATGCTAGAGGTCTCTTGGTAACAAATTTTCTTAGGATAATGTAAAAAAGAGCTGTCAGAATCAGCACTGCTACTGTTTGCCAACTTTCCTGTAATTTTTCAAGGGTTTTTTTTGAAAATTGCAGAAAAAGGAGAGAAGGAACTTAATTGGAGACTTAATTTGATTGGAGATAGCCTGTGAGTAACACCATGGTGAGCAGACCTGATGTGTTTAGATACTTAATCCTCCTCAGCCACACTGTGCCAGTATTTTGGGAACAGATGTTCCAAGAGCAGACCAAAGAACAGAAGATCAAATGACTTAAAAGCTCTGGGCAACGAGGAAGCTCCCTTATGTCAACTAGCTCCTTTTAATATGTCAATCTGTCTTTTCCAAGGCACAGGCTTTCTAAATGTGAAAGTATCATGGGGGAGAAAAAAAGGGAAAAAACTCAAAAAAACCCCAACAACTAAGAACAACAACAACAAAACAAAACAAAACAAGCCCAAACCAAGCAAAACCAAAACCAGAAACAAAACAAGCCAAAAATGCAAAGGAAAATGGAAAACAACAAACAAGCCAAAAGCTAACGAAAGAAAGCAACCCCCAAAAACCCAAACAAACAAAGCAGAACCAAGCACAAAACTGGCAGGAATGGATTGCTAATTTACAAGGCCTGGTCAGTAAGAAGGGAACCTGAATGACAAGAGGCACCAGTTACACAAACCTTGAAGGAACAATTCAGCTACAAAATATGTATTCATTTTTGCCCCTCCTCCCCCCTCCCCCTTTTTTTTTTTTTTGCTTTTGACCAGCTAATTCCAAGGAGGTGTCTCATGTTTAAATGAAATCTACACTGGTAAATATTCTCATGTAAGTGTTGGCAAAATCTCTTTTTTTTTAAATTACTAGGTCAAATAGTAAGAGACTATAAGTTTTGCTCAGGATATGATATTAATTTAAAGGAGGAAGGAAAAGAGTAATAGTTTTACTACCAGTTGTCTGTTGGAATCATAGTGCTGAAAAGAAAAAAACAGCTTAAAATCCTTACAAAATAATCACTGAAAATTTTTCTCTTTTTTTTTTTTTTTTTTTTTTTTTTTGTGGCAGCAGATAAGTGCATGCAGTAGAGTCATTAAGAAATAAAAGGCATTATATAATACAGAGATTTATATAAAAATGTTTTATACATTCATTTCTGGACAGTTTTATAAACCTGACAATTCAAACTTTTCCTGCTCCTGTAGTAAAAAACAAACAACCAAAATACGCAAATGAGCCAAACTGCAAAACAGTCCCACTGATGGATTCAGTTGCCCTCTCAATTTCTTTTTCTTCAATTCGTTTCTTATCAAAATCTTCGCAGCTAGAGAGTCTTATTTCCTACATACACACACACACACACTGCCTCAATTATCTCCATGTCTAAGCCCAAGGATGCACAGATCAGTACTGACATGAGAGGAGATTCAGGACCTTAATTTCCACTTGAGCTGGAATTACCTAAATTGCTCAAGAGACTGAGGCACCAACTCTTCTGGAAACTTTCCTACATCTGCTCCTACCCTCAGAAATGCTGAACTGGATATTTTTGGAGTAAAGTAGAATTTCCTGAATAGATGCTATTCTTCAATTCACAGCTTATTTAAATTAAAGTGAAACAAGTATGGACTAGGCATTTGAATTTCAGGGTTCTTTCTCATAAGCTTTGGAGTCAAGTTGGATTTGTTTTAAAAACATGATTCTTGGTGAGTACAAATGTCTATTGCACATATTTTAATAAATAAAGCAGGATCTTGTTTTCTCTGGACCTCTTGTGGTGCCTGTGAAGTCCCAAAGACATAATTATTAATTTTTTCCCACTTTTTCAGTTTCAGTGTGTCTGCAATAATATGAGGACTGTATTGCATCCCACAGAGCCATTTTAAAAGTATAAAATCACCCTCTGTGTCTGCTGTCACTAAAATCCCCCCCAAAACTTTGCCAGAAATGACAGACTGTAAGTCCAGAGTCATGACAGGATATGTATGAGCAATCTGGATCATCAATATTCAAGTACTCAGGTTTCCTCTCTGATCCTGTTTTATTTACCAGCACAAGTAGAACATCGTGCCCAGAAAATGCTCCCTGGTACATATGATTTTACTCCAAGAAATTGTGTGAATATTCAAATATATTGGCTGCTACTGAGTCAAATTTGAACTTTTTGTTGTCTTCCCAGTGTTTTGTATTTTCTTCATGGCATCTTCTTCAATCCACCTGGCCCAAAGCTGAAGTCTTGGAGATTTACAGGGAACATTTCCATCAATCTGATAGAAGCAATTATCTTTATGCAATTATTTACAGGATAATATGTAAATAGAGGTTGAAATTATTCCTCCCAATTCGTATACTGGTATTATTTCAGGACTGAGGTCCTAAGCCACACTGTAAATTTGTTACAACTTTAACACATAGGACCAATCAGTTAATTTAAGACAGTGATGGAATTAGTATAATATTTAGAACACCTGATTCTTCACGCCATCTATCCTCATATAACCTCTATTATGCATAATTTAAAATTTTAAAGCATGCAGGCATAACACAAGGAATGAAAGTTACATTTCTTTAATGTGTATATGTGTATGTAGGAGTCTGTGCATGCACAATATGGACATCTACACACACTCTAAACAGATTTTCTCTTCAGAAACATCACCTTCATTAACCTTTGTTTGCATGCTTACTTTTTCTTATCCCTGTTTGATGATTTTACTATTGTTCCTGGCCATCCAGTCAAAAGAATACACCTGCAAAAGGCTTTGCCAAGAGGCAGGCAGTCACTCAGTGATCCTCAAAGTACGAGAGATACCAAATTATATTGCTGTGACATCTGTCCATCCATCTGCTAGAGTTTCCATAATCTACTAAAGCCAATCTACAGATTATGCTGATGTTTAACCTTACTGAAAATCAAGAATAAAATCAAGTATAACTTGCAACAGGATAACATGGATGTGGATATAAACATTAATGTATATATATATATATATAATTTTAAGTATACAAATTAAAATAAGCCACAGTGGTGTTCCAGGGCTTTGGTGCACTAATGAGCTGAAATTGTTTCAGGTTCTGTACACTAAACATCCATCTATGGATATCAGCACTTCTATTTCAGGGGAAATAATATGAAAAATAATTTAAAAAATAAATGGTAATAAAAAGTAGCTCCACGCTTTTTTTTTTTTAAACTGAAGATACATTAACTCTTAATGTTAAATATTCTAGTTGTTTAATCTCCAGTACTTTATCCTAAAGCTTTATTTTCTTTGTGAAATTGTATTGTTTGGTGAAATGAGCGTGTTCGCCTTTTATTTAAACTAGTTGGAACAACTGTAAATGTGCTGCTTATATCACCAAATACAAAAGTTTATCGGTTCCTACACATGGCTAGTAGTTATAATAACTTTGTGTGGTAGGATGCCAACGCTTTCAGAATCCCAAAAGCTATAATCTTATTAATGCATGGCCACTTGGGATATGAATATTACTGAGAAGACTTCTCCTTTCAGTGCAGTTCCCTCTGGAGAGGGAAACCCAAGAGCAGGAAATGATCTCATGCTGCTGGAGTGCCACACATATTTCTGTTGGACAAGAACCAAATGTTGTTGTGGAGGAGCCAACACCACCACTCCAGTACCACCATTCCCACCAGGGGAATGCACTGGGAAAGTGAAACCTTAAGCTGGACAATGCCTGAAAACAAGGCATGGGAAATAAAAGGCAAAGGTTTCTTTATAAAACACCACCGCCTGTCCAATGTATCTATGGGAAGTTGCTGTGACGAAGCCTGCTTTCAGTTCTTTGCAGATCTGCATGTGTTTATGTCTCTAAGGCACATGTTTCCCGGCTTTTCAGTGGAAATAAAAAAAAATGCAAATCCGCTTTTTGCCTGAGCCGCTGTGTAATTGGAGACTTTGGCCACAGGGTGGTACACCAGCCATGTCGAACCGAGGGCTGCGGGGAAACATCAGGCGGCTCCGTTATCCCTCTGCCGGCTCCGCTCCATCAGGAACAGCAGGCTGGAGAGCTCGGAACAGCTGGCCGCCAGCCAAAGGCATAAAGAGTCAAAACATAAGACAGAGAAACCCCGCTGAAGAATCTGAGAATCTACTTGCAAATGCTGATAACATGGAGGTATCCATACTACATAACTGCACATATCTACTGACACACAACTTAAAACATTCCTTGGGGTTTTTACTTCTAAAGAATATATTTTCGTTTCATCTCACTCGAAAAATTAATCAAACTAGATGAAAAGAACTTCATTTTCAGTCAATAAACTTTAAGTTTAGATGTCAGGTTGAAGACAAATCTGAAGAAAATACTGTGTCAACTGTGAGATGAAAAAATACAACTCCTGGCGTTGAAACACTTTCTATTCCAATAAGAATAAAAATAAAAACCTAAGCTATAAAAAACTTTATTTTTATCATTTAACTACTTACATTAAAGTCCTTTATTAGCACACTGCAATTTTACATAAATTACAGGGTTTTCTATCTATTAACTAACCTCAACATCTGCCTTCCTTGCCACTATCCATCTTTTCAATTAAATAAATGGAGTTGATCCACTTCACTGCTACCTTTTCTAGGTAAGAGGAATACTCAGAGATTTTAGATAACTACAGACAGTTTCCTCGGGGGTACTGGGATCTTTTCAAAGAGTGATAAGTAATTTTTCCTACTGACTCTTCTGCTTTGACTCACGGGTGAAGTTCTGGCCGTGGATTTAAGTGATACTGTGAAATTCAAAAGTAAATTTAATTATATACTAATATTGACATAAATAGGCAGAGAACAAGACTTCAGTTTGGAACTGGAATGTGACAATTTAGCTGATGCCTTAAGATTTTAGCCTTTATATTTTTCAAATTCTGTGCTGCATTAGTGCATAACTCTAAACTTCATATAAAGTGTTAACTACTCTTCACACTTTGGTCAGATAAAACAATCTCTCTGGGCCTGGAACCCAAGGGCACCCTTCAGCATCAGGTATAAACAAAAGTGAATTGGGGGAGAGCAAACTGGGGGAATATGACTTCATTACCTGAAGCTGCAATTGGAGGATTAACCCTGATATACGTAAATGGACAAAACTTACAACTGTCTGAAAAATTCGTGACCATTGTCCATCTTGGGTGTAGCTGCTGGGAGGCTTTTGACTGTCCAAGGTGTATCTATTGAAGGCCATTAACAAGTACCCACTTTATTCTCTTAACTTCTTCCAGCCTTTGTTCTAGGTAGCCACTCCAAGGCATCATAGCAATGCAATATTTAAAATTGCTTTCACAAAGCTTTTCAGAACTCAGCAATGTATGATGAGACACAAAAGGAGGCATTTTCTAGAAGATATTCAGCAGTCTGACTCTCTGTCATAGCCACCTAATTCTTCTTCATGCACCTTAGAGCCTCCCCTGAGATCTTTCCTCTAGAATTACTGCCCTGAGTCTAGAGCAGGGCTCCACCTCACATCAAGTGAAATCAAGGATGCTTTTTTTGCCTCAGGACAGTTAATGTTAGTTTAGCATTTTAAACCATTGTATAGGATTTTATTTGTTTTATGATTGTGCTTTTAATTTTTTTTTTAAATATATAAAAGTAGAAGTGCAGACATCTCATGGAACCTACCTCTTTCACACGATCTGCCAAGGTACCCCGTGCCAGAGCAATCACACACATATCTGTTCCACCCATCCCTGCACACACCATTGTTTTTACAGGGGTTGCTAAGGCAAGGTTTTGCAGTTTCTCTTGAGCATGAGGGTTTTACTCCAGCTGTGCTTTGAATTTCAGCCATCTGTCGAATATCTTTGCTTTGACCATCAATAAATAAATCTCTAATGCAGCCGACATATCCATAATTGAGGAGTGCTGTCCACACTTCTGTTGGGAAAACCAGGCCTGCTTTATTTTCTGGTAAACCTCCAAGATACAAGTCATCATCCAAGTCAAGGATTTCACTTTCCCCTGGTGCAGTATACGGAGTACGTAACGTGTTCACGGATATCGTCCCTGTAAAGACAATAAAATGCGTGATTTTCAAGATATTTGGTTTTAGTACTGCTTTTTTTACTCATTCATCTACATGTCACATTAGCTCCTGGCAAACAGCTATAAGTGAAGTAGAGGTATTTTATTTGTACAGCTATAAACTCATAGATACACTTCAGTATTTCAATTGCAATGTAGTCAGGAAGTTAATGATCTAAAAAACCTTTATGCACAGCACTGCATGAGCACAATATGAAAAATCCCAGTAAAAATCACCTTACTGATCTCATAGGTACAGGAAGAATGCAGTTCAGAGTAATTTTCAGAAATATCCTCATTGTGCAACAACAACAAAAATATCTTCTCTCCCTCATATGCATTTCACAACCTTAAGGCCAGGGTTTCGTGGATAGGTTGAAGCCTGGGAGGCAAATCTGAGTCTTTGGTTTGGGCCCAAAGACAGTATTTTAAAATACTCTCACCAGTTCCACTGGGCTTTGGATAAAATTTTAAGTGCTGAAGGAAAATGCTCTCATCAGTTGCAAGGCAGGCAATCATTAAGAAGGAAGTGATGTGGTCCTGGAGGGAAAAATCAATGCCTCTGACACTTATCTCAAAATGTGTGCATGTTGCAATGAGAGGGAGAGAAGATGCATGCGGACCTTCAGGAAACCAGAAATATCTTTTCCATTTTAGTCTAAAAATTTAATAAACAAAATTTAACCTAAAATAGAGTTCTCTTTATGAAGTGTCTGAACAAAGAAAATGTAATCATCAGCAAAAAACCTTTTTTTGGTGGTACTTTGTTTAAAATAATGAGGTATGCAACACTTATAATTTGAATAAGCAGAAAAACAAATTTAGAACATACAGTCACAGAGCATACTTATGCCAACCAATTTTAGTTTTATATCTATGTAAAATCACTTGGAAAAAAAATCTTCATGTAGCTCTTCACAAAAGTGATTCCTTATCACTCTACATGGGTACATGGGTACAAGCAAACAAAATATAAATCAAAATACTATATAGGTCACAAAATTATTATAATGACCAGTCATATCATGCAGCACAATGTTATCTGCTGGGCATAACATCAAACCTGTATTAGTGATGACACGACATTGAAGTACTGCATTTACCATGATGGATTTAGCATACATATAAATATAAAGTGAACATGATTCACCATCTCCACTGTTAGCCTGAAACAGATTCTAGAAGATAACACTGATTACCAAAAATGCTTCCACTGTGGTGGGAGTTGTGCATAAGAAGAAATTCACACTTTACATAGCATACATACTAAAATGTGAGTTTTAAGCAAACAAAGGCAGGTCAGAAAAAGATCATTCTCTTACTTGGTTGCAGCCTAAAATTTAAGCCTCTCTTTTATTAATGGACTCCTGTAGAAGCTATCTTTTTTTCTGTTCTTTTGTTGGTTCAGTAACTTCAACAATATTGACAGAATGAATATAATTTGGATTCTTAGTAAAAGCTGTTTGGGATAAAGGTCTCAGGAGGTCCAACTCCCGTATGAGACTTGAGTCATATGGATTTTAGAAGGGCTGGATACCACAAACAGTCTCCCTACTATCAGAAGAAGACTGACAAGATAAAGCAAAGGTTTGCATAGCATTTTTGCATCTTTATAAGCACATTTATAGAGTGAGGATGTGGTCAGTTCCCTTTTATGTATTATGAGATATATTTTCTGTGTCAGTTGAATAATCACATAGATGCAAAAGTGAACTTCCAAGAAAGTAAGTAAGAAATAGGCATGCTGAAACAAGATACCTTTTCTTCCAAACTTACATCTATTTAAAACTCATAAGACAACTATAAAAATTTGTTGTTGCTTCTCAGCTTCTAGAAGCAGAACTTGGCACTCATATGGAATGCTCACTATAGGTTTGACCTTAGGCATGCAAGCATAAACATTTTGAGATTTGATTTGATTAACCAGCTGCATCAAACAAGGACACCTGTGGATGACCTGTCAAACCAAGAGAGACTTTTCAGAGAGCATCCTACAGTATCAGGAAGGATGGCTAACAGGCAACAGATCTTTTCATCTTTAAAAACATTAGAGACACTGTAAATATAAATTGCACTTGTCCTCACACTGTTTCTTACTGCTATTGTTGCTTGCTGCCATCTGTTGATGTACAGGCTAATTTAGGACCAAACACTCCAAACCCATGTTCAGGCAGCACCCACTTGTGCACCCACACAAGTTAACTCAGCTGCAGCCTCCAACAGCAAGCTCCAACATGTGAACAGTGCTGCTTTCTGCTGGACAAAGACATTTACATTTTCAAGACATTAACAAAGAATCCTAGAACTCCTTCCCTATTAAAAAATAAAAATTTACTACGTCTTGATCACTTTCAACTCACAGAAAAAGACAGATAAATCTCTGCTAGTACAGCTGCTACTCTGTGTTCCAAGTGGAAGCTCTGCAAGCACAGAAGGCTTAGGAAGGTGAATGATAAGGGAAACTGGTGACTGTGAATTATAGTAAAGTGATAGATTGAAGCAGGAAATTTTTCTTCTCTCTGTCATAAAGGATTACCCTGAAGAGAGCTTAAGTATTATTTTGAATAGATGACAATAGCTTCTTAAAGAAATGAACTTTTTTACCTTCCCAAGTAAAAGAAATGAAACCCCATCAAATACTTTGTGTGAGAAATCTTCTGAAGCCTTACTGCAATCATGGCATCTAATGACTATGGGTAGAAAAACATGACAGGCAACCACACAGCCATCACTGCTAGTGATATCCAAATTACCTTTTACGTATCTCTAACAGACAATACCAACTTTACTCACTAATTGCTTTGTAAGTGCAGATGAAAAATCCAAGTAACATAAGGGAATATAAAAATAATCCAAAATACAGTAAAAAACACAAAGCCTTTTAAGAATCCTACAACAAAATGCAGAACTCAAGTTCACAGAACAGAGGCCTACAGAAAATAAACAATGGTTCCATTAGCATCTTCGGATTCACAGTGCACCCAGAGCTGAGGCAGAGGTAGCACATGCTGTTTCATCTTGGTGAGGTTTGGGGGGATTTCTTTTCGTTTGTTTTTGGGGTTTTTTTGTTTGTTTTTGTTGTTATTGTTTTTTTGGGTTTTTTTGTGGGTTTTTTTGTGTTTCTTTGGTTTGGTTGAGGTTTTTTTTTTTTTTGGTTGGTTGGTTGGTTGGGTTTTTTGTGGTTTTTTGTTGTTTTGGGGGGGGCTGGTGTTTTTTTGTTTGGTTGTTTGGTTGTGTTTTTTTAAAGCCTGTTACCTTTCTTGAGGGAAACTTTGTGAGTTCTGCTGAAAACGTCTCAAGTTGGACCTCATAACAATGGCAGAAGCTACCACAGGAATTGGGGACTGTGATGCACACCTCCTTTGATAGACTTCAATTCTACTTTGTCTGGGAATTATGGGCAGATTAAAAGGAATTGGTTTTGTCGAATCATCAGTGCGCCTCCAATCCATTCAGATGTTTCTGCTTCTGGATGTGAAGGGACATCACTTTCCATAGAGGAAGAAAGAGAAGCTAATGGAGCATGCAAAAGTCTTATGCAGCCAGCACAAAAGGGTTAATAAATTTCCCTGTAAAGATACTGTAATGTCATTCTCAAGATAGAATTGTCAAATTTTACAGAAGGAAAGAATGGGACATATGTTGTTTAACTGAATAACCTAGAGACAACAGATATGAAGAGGAGGCAGCCGATTCAGAAGAGCACTGGATGCTCAAGGAAAACTATAACTTTAAATTGTAACATCTCTGGAGTAAGTACCATCCTTAAACTTCCAACTTTTCATAACAGCACCCAGTACCAGATAAGTAGTGAAATGGCTTTTTCTTTGAAAAGAGCCTTAATGCCTTCCAGGAAACAAGCAGCTTCCAAGCAAAGTTTCTTAAGACTCAAAGTATTTTTGTAAAATTTTTGTATTTCTGTCAGAATAAGAAAGCAATGGAAGAATGCTGACAGCATGTGCTTTGTCCTGCCTGAAAGAAGTAAAAGGGAATGACAAAGACAAGAAGGCGTGGGGTGACTTATTTGTTCTGAGAATTCATGATCTAGCTTCAGATTCTAAAAACAAGTAGCATTTCTTATCTCCAGAAATTACACATAAATTTAAGTGTCCTGTAATGACCGGTAGCTGCTTTGATTCTGCAGTATTTCACCTGAGATCACAGTGCAATTTAGCATTCAGAAACTTTTTTCTGGATTGGAAAAGGAGTTTGAGAAAAACTAATGAAATTATGGTTTTCAGCAAGAATTATTGACTTAAAGGATAACTGATTAGTGAGAAGTCCTTCAAAGGACAAGTCAACAATATAAGTCAACAATAACACACATGTGAGCAAAATGGGAAATATATTAGGGATTACAGAGAAGCCTATTGTACCACTTGGCTGAGTGTTGGTTAATTTTTATCTTGGACTCTGAGAAAGATGCAGATCAGCTGAGAAAGCTGCAGATAATTGAAAGAATATTCCTTAAAATGCAATATAAACCCATTCTCCCAAGTATGAAAATGAATAACATCTGTTGAAATAGGAACATGTAAATCTGGCTGTTCTTAAAAGGTTAAAAAGATGTGGGAAGTAATATGTAGAAGAGTACATGTGGAAAAAAAAAAAGAACCTGCAACAACAACACATGTAATGGACATCAACAAAGCACTACTGAACATGGGATGTTGATTATGGTTAAGCTCTAATTACATCTTCAGAAAAGATTTCTGGTATTTAAGCTGAAACTAACTTTAGTTCAAAATTTCAGTGACTCAGCCCTTAAGTGCTACCTACATATGAATAGATGCTGATACATTCTGCTTTATGCTGCCCTGCACAATTAGAAGTTGACAAGAAGAGTAAGTTCCCTCCCTGATTTCACTATGTAATGGTGTAATTGCTTTATGAAGGATGAATGATGGTTTAGCAAAAAACAATTTGCATGGTTATCCTTGCATATGGCAAACAATTTAAAAAAAATTAAAGGATACTTAAGTCTCAGAAAACAGTTATTAAACCTATCCCTACTGTGTTACAAGAAGCACTGTGAGCAAAGACCTTTACAGCTGCTTCTGTAGCTTGGTTGTTTTTTATTTAGTTTGGGTTTGTGTCTTTTTTCCTAATTATTTTTTTCTGCAGAGTTTGCAGTATTGTTAAGAACAGAACAGGCAAACATTTCCCTTAGGTACAATGTAATGATCATATTCCAAACTCTCCAATCATATTCATTATCTTAGCAATTTACTTTTTCCTAAAACTGTGTATAAGAATCATATTTCTAAATCTCATCTCTCTCCTGATCAGTTAAATATGAAGATTTTAATTGCAGGTATTGCAACTGTTCTGATCTCTCTGCTTACCTCACGTGGCCTATTTTAGTTTCTTTTTGTGCCCGTGAAAAACATCTGCTTATTAAGAAAAGTTGAAAAATCAGAGCAAGGTATTCTAAATACATCTTCTGTGCTAAAACACAATTTAATATCTGTGATGAAGACTGGAACTGCAGCATGCAGCCCATGGCCAAGACAGGGCACATAGGAGACAGCTATGAAGCTGTGGTCCTTCCCAGAAATTCAGGATATACAGTTCAGGAGTACTGGGAGGAAACTCAGGATACAGCAGCTGGTAGCACTGCTGCACACCTAGCAAGAAAGATGAACCAGAGAATATCTTATATTTCTCTTTACCTAACCCTTAAATGTTAACTAAAGATGGTCTCAGGAACTCTGTCCTGCCAATGATCTTCTTTTTAGGTAAGAAAGCACTCAGAGTAAGTCTTACAGGAAACAGAATGGGATTCTAGGGCAAAAACAAGAATAATAGGTCAAAACTTCTTTCAGCAAAAGGAAATTGAAAGGCACCATTTCTTCCTTCTTCCTTGTATCTCTCAAAATCTGAGGGGACTGACAGAATTACTAGCGAATTGGGCCTGTTTGATTACAATTTAAAAATATTTTCTCGTTTTTTGCATCTCCCTCCCCCTCCACCGCAGTCCTAGACAAGCAAAGACAAAGTCAATAGTTTAGTGTGGATGCTCACTGTGACTGAGAGTCTGGAAGAGAGCAAAGAATGAGAATTAAATCTAGTACTTGCTGATCCAGCTAATATGAAAGTCAAGGAAATTAGCAAAGCTCCTTGAGAAATGTCACAGCATTCTACTATAGGGAGGGAGCCACTGTGCATTGGATCTGAAGGCTAGGAGCAAAAGGTTACAAGACACCAAACTTAATTTAAAGAAAAAAAGAACTGCACAGTTTATTTGAGCCACTTTTTTATTAACAGAACAATCTGTTCCTTTATGACTGATAGCTAGGGAAATATGCTATCAATGGCAATGAGAAAGTCTCAGAAAAGCAAATTTTTTATGTACAAGATATATTCATTCGGTTATATAAAAATTCTGAAGGAAAGCTAGAGGAAAGTAATCATATTCATGTGATTCCCAGTATGTTTGGTCTGGGCTAGAGAAAAGAAACCAAAAAGCATCTTGAAATAGTAAAGTGAATTTTATTCTTCATGGGTAAAACACACCAACATGCATAATGCGACCACGAGGTGGAGGGGGGATGAAATCCTCAGGATAGCAAGGAGGGCACACAGCAAACTCACTGCCCTGGACTTGAGAGCAGACTTTGGCCTCCTCAAGGCACTATTGACTGGAGTGCAGTGGGAAATAGCCTTGGAGGGCAGAGGGAATGCCAGAGGGAGGCCAAGGATGCTGGCTGGTATTCAAGGATCACTTTCACCAAGCTCAGTTGCAATGCATCCCAACAAGGAGGCAATCGGGCAAAAATGCCAGCAGGCCTCCATGGATGGATAAGGAGCTGCTGAGCAATCTCGAAGCAAAAAAGGAAGCTTTCAGAAGGTGGAAACAAGGACAGGTGGCTTTGGAGGAGTAGAGTAAAATTGTACAGGGTGATAGGGATGAGGTTAGGGAAGCCAGGGCCCAGTTAGAATCGAGTGTGTCCCCTTCATCCCTTTTTACTATTTCTTTCTATTTCCTTCTATATCACATTTACTGCTACATAAAATCCGTATTTTTTACTTTAGCACACAGTCTCTTTTGCATCTTAATTCAGGCAGAGACATCTCTCTAATAATTGTAATAACCAGATCTTGCCATCATTAAGACAAACAAAAGCATTGCAAGTGTTATTGGTACTTGTCCTACCATAAACTATTACTGTATGTATTAGAATAACAGGAAAACTTTTATTCTGCTTCAAATTGCAGTTAAAAATCAGTTTGCCAATCCATAAGCCTGTATATTATATTTAGTATTCATGGTAATAGTTCCATGTCTTAGAGTTAATAGGTGTTATGATTAGTTTTCAACACTGGGGGGGGAGGGGGACTTGCATAAATTTCACCTATCTTGATCATAGGCAAATCATCAGATGGATTAATTTTAGTATTTATAATTCTACTCAAAAATTAATGTGCAATTCTGATCACCAAGAAGGTTTTGTTTCCTGAAATCACTCTACGTTCTTGCTGATGTCCACCAACAATTTTAAAGAATTTAAAGTATGCCCAAAACTCTCTGAATGGCACTTGTTAGTCACGTTTTTTGTGAAGCAATGAGAGGGCAGAACTTATCTTCAAATGTAAACAGTTGCTACGCATTTATTTCATTTCTTTATAGATCTGTTGGCTTTGGATGTAGAATAAACTTTGCTTTCAGCAGTCCCACAGGCATGATTATTACAGGATTTACTGCCTCATATGAATCACTGAAACAGCACTTTAAAAAGTCTGAAATGAAAACTGTAGTATAAATAATATAACTACTGGATATTCAATCTCAATTGAAGATTTTGAGAAGCTGTGTTTTGTTGTTCATGGGATTTTTTTTGTTTGGTTGGTTTTTTTGTTTTTCTTTTTGTTTTTTTGTTTGTTTGTTTTGTTTTTGTTTGGTTGGGTTTTGCTTACTCTTGTTTGATATGTTTATTTAACCTCAAGAAATGTAAATGAGCTACTGACATATTATAATAAGAAAATCAAAGTCTGTACTATTAGAGTTTGAAGCTGCACTGCCCAGGAATCAAATAATTTATTTTCATAATCACAGCACAGATCAATTGAATTTGGTCTGATTTTCAGCAGGGATTTGACTGAAATATTCAGTTTAGACGTGCACCTAAGATTTGCTTGATCTGAAATCTGATTTGTATTAGTTAAGTCATAAAATAATAACTTTTTGGGGTTAAGTTTCATAAAGAAATTATAAATGCAAACTATGGAAAGGGAGTCACCAGAAGGAAGAAAGTGGGGGAAATTCCACAAAATCCAAAAGAAGTGCAGTTACATTTTTCAATACCCAATTTTAAAATGTACAAAAACTTCAGGTTCAGTACTGATATTAATCAGAAAATCTTCAGGACTGAATTACAGGCTCAGTACATTCTCTGCCCCTTTTCTCTCCAAATCCTGGCATGAAGTACAGGAAAGTCACTGTAGAAGAGAACTGTCCTTAAGTTGATGTATATTGATTATTTACTTAAGACAAGATATATACTCAAGATGAGTTGAGCTGATACACATTGACGATTTCACTGGATAAATGCACTTTAAGCCATATTATATTTCAGTAGCATGAGGAAGAGTTCATGAATTCTTTATTTTTACCACTTTTCAGTGGGATTTTTTTTGAGTAAACTACTCAAAGAATGTGAATCACACTGGTAGAATGCAGCAAGTCAATTATTTCCATTTCTGCTAGCACATGTTGTTAGTCATTTATTAGTGTATCATTCAAGTACACTGAGATCTGCTGACATGATTGGAAGATCTGTGTTGTTTCTGTGGGGCAGTTATTCCCCATGTCAGAGATTATTTTCAGTAATTCCTTTTCTGCTTTATTTTCATTCTCGAAACTTGCCACTTCAGCTATTTGGTGTAAGCAAGCACAGAGGGAGATTACTGTTGGTTTTTCAAGCACACAACACACTTACTTGCAAGATTAAGAACTTGATTATCCAATAATGTTAACAAAAGATATTTTACTCAGCAAATTATTGTATTCTGGCACCTGAAAGTAATGACTTCTTATATTTTCCTTATTTTTCAGATGATGCCCAACTCTAATTGTGGCAACATCAATATGTACCCAGTGTTCTCTCAAGACAAAACAGAAAAAACCTTCATTTTGAATGCTAACAAAAGGAACTTACCTGACCGCCCATCCCGCTGAAAATCCACATGGTACCATTCACCATCGTTCACCTTCTTCTGCAAGGCTTTAATTTTTATAGTACCTGATCCCATGTCTAATAGTAGGTAGAGGTGGCCATCAAGCATCTCAATAGCAAAAAAATCAACCTTCACCATCTGTGGATGTTTGGCATCTTTTTGGTGCCTTGGTTTCCCATGACTGAAAAGAATCAGGCCATTTGGCTCAGTTGTACGAAAGTCAAATGATATTGAGCCTGTTTTCTTGGCATTCCACTTTGGCAGAGAGATGAAAGACTCTGGTGTTTCAAATGTGATTGGATCTAAGGTTGCAACATTCTCACATTTAAATGCTACAACCCCATGAATCTTCATTTTAGGATCCCCTTGCTTGGCAAGTCGAGACAGCTCCAACCTGACATCGTTATTTTTATATACAACCTGCAAGCAAAGCAGAGAAATTACTCAGAGAAACCTGACCATTTTAAACAGACATAATCCTGAATAGGCACATTATTTAGAGGATAATGATGATAATATATGAATATGATAATTTACATACAAACAAGATGAAATAACTATTTTATTGACTAATGATTTAATAGTTGTTTTCATTAAACCAAACAAAGTTGCTCTAAAAATATCCCTGGAGTTAATTCTAACAATCTGAAAGAATCTACACATAATTTATACTATGAGTTGCAAATTAGCTTGTGTGGCCTTGATTACTTAAAAGCTTTCTCTGCACAGCCATTTTGCTATTATAAAGTAGTATTAGATTTCGTCTTCCTCTAAACCCTTTGTTACTGTCTTAAATCTTCTGTTCATGTGCAGAAAATATACCAAGGTCAGACGCTTCATAATTTAACATATTTTCAGTTTGTCCTTGGGGCTGAGGAGTAGTAGCATTCGTGGAATTCATGAGACTATATAAGATAGGCAAACTAATATAATAGCAGATCAAAACAGGCAAAACCAGGAAAACCTTTGAGCCCATTCAATTAGATTAAAAAAACCCAACTTACGTATTTTCCCTGACTGAAGACTTTTCTGATAAAAATGAAAGACGATATTAGTTTTAAATCCAATTGACCTCTGCAGCAAATATTCTTGCTTCAAATCACATTTTAACTTGGTCCAAGAAGCCTGTCATGATCCAACCATTTCCCAGGGTTGTAATGTTTATTAGTGTTTTCTCAAATTGCTGCTCTTTCCGAGTTATCCATAATAGAAGAGCTGCTGAAATGAGCTCCTCAATACCAAAGGCGTGCATAAGTGTTTTGTCAATACTTTTAATTGTTCGATAAATTATACACTCAAGCTAAAATACCACTGAAGGGCTGAATAAAAAACCATAGTGACAGAAGCTAAAACTTTCTTTGCTGTTTCTAAGGTTAAGCCCTACATTAAAAAGCAATTTGGAGAAAAAGCAACAGCTCAGCAAAACCAAACACTTTGTGCTGAGGCTTCTTCATCTACAGATCTGCAGCATTCAGGGCTAGATCATGTCTGGCCCTGATCCAGTGTTCCAATTATGTAGTGTAGTTTGGAGCTGTTCTGGGGACCCATCACTGGGTCACATTTTACGTCCCTATAGGGGGTTAGAAAGTGCTTACTGAATACTTAGGATAGAGCCCTGGATTAATTTCCTCTGAGATCTAGTTTGAACACACATGAAGCCCACTCTGGCACCCAGTAAGAGGAAAACACAGCAGATGAACTGCAGAGCTGTGCTACTATTAGAAATCAAAGCACTAGCACTTAAACAATCTAAAATGGCATACCCCACAAATATAGTTGCTATTGAAAAATGATGTTTAAAGATAAAAGAAAAGAAAATGATTGATAGAGTGACATTTTTTTAGTAAGAATTGTGTTCATTCCAATTATATTATTATCCACAATGCAAATTTCATCATAAGACTTGTCAGAGCTATTCTACTATAATAAAATGTATCCTAAAAGTTAATAAATAAGCCTATTTCTTCATTTTATTTCAGAATTGAGTACAAGTAGTGTTGTTCCCATGAGAGCTGTGTCTCCAAAGACAACAGATAAACCTTACCATGGATTGCTGACAGCAGAAATGGTACTCTGCTACAGAGACAATGTGTTCTTCAACTGAACACATCACAAGTGAATAGAATTGGACTAAACTGTAATCTTAGATAGTAAGGCTCCATATTTCCATTTATCAAATACATTCACAAGACCTGAGATTTCACAGACTGTGCAAAGGAGTTGGGAAATAAGCACTTGCAAGTGACCTCTCTTTGGGGTGGCTTTCTGTCTTTAAAATGAAGAGGAGGAAGCCAGGAACCTGGGAGGTTACTTAGAGATATCTGGTCTCGTGAAGCATTGACCCTTTCTGTGACAAGAGGGATCTTGAATAGCTCCTTCTTCATTTGAAGATGTTACAGGGGCAACCTTTCTAGATTAGACTGAAAAGCATTAAACACTGCCAGTGGATGCAATAAATAAAAACGGAGCAAATGGTCTCTTATTAGAGCTAAACCCTGCTTGACAATGAAAGTAAATATGGCTACAAAGAACATGAGAAAATATTCTTAAATTGACTGCTAAACAAGAGCAGGTTCCAGGACAAGGCAAATAAATGTAAAAACAGAATTTATTGTTTATGGACAAATGAAACAGTCCAATCTTAATGAAACTGGTTGACTGAATATTACAATTAGGAATTAATAGCTATGTTAAAAAACTCAGCAGACTAAAGGAAAGCTAGGTTTTCCTTGAAGTCTAAAACAGCTTAGTATGATCTGAAATGATTTTCCAACTCAGAAATAATAATTTCTAATAAATATGGTTTAAGAACATAATGGACAAAGTGAAATGTTTTTCTCAATAACTTGTCACCAGCTGTTCAATTAATTTAATAAACAATATATGAGGGAAACGTTGCTAGAACACTTTAGTAACAGTGACAAATATTATCAATTTTATGTCACCAATATTAAAACATTCTTGGAATCCCTAAATATTTTAAATTACAATTTTGTGCTTCCATATTCCACAGCTGAAACTTCATAGCTACTGAGGAGAAATGACTGCATTTTATTACATACATTGTAGGGAAACTTGAATTAATCCTATATCTAAGTTTGAGAGTGCATATGTTCTAAGTTTTAGAATGTGCTTATGTTCATTTACTTTTACTAAATGGAAAATTTGGAGCTGAATTATCGTGGATAATTAGTAATAAAACAGGAATGTCTGAACCATAGCTGAAAAGACCTGTAAACTATTAACTGAACACAGCTTGCATTTGGGAGGCTGTTTTCTGGTGTTATGCTGAGATTCTTACCTCTCTCCCTAGCCATGAAAAATGTACTCAGCCATCAGTGAAGCACAGCAAAAAGGAGAAAAGCAGTACTTTCACAGAAATTAGTTGTCATTAAATTTTGGGAAAACCACTGAACAGTAAGGAATAATTCTGAGAGTAATATCTGCTTTATAACTCATGAAGGTACATGCTCCAAAAACAACAGCCTCTAGGGTACAAATAACATACTGATTTATCCATTGATTTTGCCTTTTAATTTTTTCTTTTGCTTCTGGGTGCATAAGGACAAACATGCTTTTAATAGGGCTTATATTATCTGCTATTTCCATCTGAGGCACACAGCATATAACTTTAACTCGGTACATACTCCCTCCTTTAGGGACATGGATCCACAGTTAGTCAAATGATGGGAATTTGGAATGGAGAAATATTGGAGTCACATTCCCCTTTACTCCCACACAAGCCACCAGTCAGTATCCTGGCATCCATTGGGTTGGCCCTGGCTTTTAGCTTGCTCTTGCACTCACTTTCATACCTGAGCAACAATCTGTTTCCTGCACATGAAACTACCAGCCCTCAGGGAATTGTATCATGCCATTAAGAGCACCATGAATTTGTCTTGTGTTCATTTTGTTCTTTCCTGTTAAGATCAAATTAGTTTCAAGACCTCAGTCTTTAAAATATATAATTACCTCGTTCTTGGAAACTGCAAAAGGTCACTTAAACTCCCAAGAAAAATGGAGCAGTTAGCAATTCCCCATATAATTTGCAACCAAGCTATCCAATGTGAGGAATAAATTTAGTTTCTAAGAGAGACAGAGCAGAACATTTTACAATCAAGATAAAGGCTTCCTTTGCTATCATCTAGGCCAACCACATGCTGGGTAACTTGCAATATCACAGGGCTGTGTCTTAACAAATAAGTCCAGCTTTGAGACAGCAATTATTACCTTACTCTCTTTAATGTGGTCTGTGGTCATCTTGGAGCACAAGCTAAATTAGTTCATGTTTCCCAAAGATATATCATATATAGGTTTTTTGGGTTTTTTTTGCAAGCCAGAGCACTACTACACAATGAACTCCAGAAGTGTAAAGAGGTATAAATCTATGAATAACCCTGAGAAAAGGTGAAGGAAAAGAGAAGGAATTCATACTAGGGATGCATCCTAAATATGTAACTGTTTAATTAGCAAATTGATGAGTCAAGAAATTTTTATAAACTAAAGAAAATAAACATATCTCTATCCATTCTTTCTACTGACCCTATCCTAAGAGATTTAGAACCATGAAAGGTGTGAAAGAATCCAGATTGCAAGACTATTTTCAATTCAAAGCGCAGCCCTTTCTACATCAAACAATATGAATGAAGAAAGGTCATTACCCTTAAATATTTCAAAATACTGACCACCTCTGCCAGCAATAGCTTTTCAATCACTGAGATTAAAAATCCTTTAAATTATTATGAAGCATTTATTTCGAATTACTTTACATTGAAATCAAAGACAATCCTCAGGAAGCTGATCACATCACTTGATTTACAGCATCTAGATTTCCTTGAGTGTAAGTGTAGAAGAAGGGATTACAGACAACCTTGCCCCTGATAAGTCACAGTTGCACTAATTACCAAAGAAGAGGAACAGCCTTGCCCTAAAACGGGTTGCAGCTGTGACTAATAAGGATAAGTGTGATAAAAGGAGTGGGTTGGGTAGCCAAGAGGATCTTGGAGGTACGAAGAAAGAGGACCTTGAGGAGGTAGAGGAGCTCTGAGGAAGAAGGAAGGATCCAGAGACACACAAAGAAGACTGAAACAAGAAGAATTGCTGCTGTGAAAGATCTGCTGTGAGGTCAGTCAGAGCCTGCAGTCATAGCCCAGCTAGGTAAAGCCTGTGTGCAGAGTCTGCAAACCAATACTTGCAGTCACAGTCCAGCAGGAAATAGCCGCAGTCAGAGTCTGCAGCTGGACCCTGCAGTAGGAGCTTGCTGTAGTCAGAGTCAGGATAGCAAAGTTGTAAAGAATAAACTGGGACCCTCTTCATGTTGTTGAATGAGAGTCTGTGTCTTGGCTCATTTCTACCCCTAATGAGAGGTCTGCTACAACACTGAAAATCAAAGAGAACCCAGGATTTCAGAGCACCTACCA